TGCGTCATGATGTGACCCGTTTTGATCAGGAGGTTCTTCATGACTTTTTCAACCATGTTTGCAGGGTTTCTTCTTTTTTATTAGAGGCAAACTTCTGCTCACTATTACTGCCATGCATTTGAAAAAAAGAATTCATCAAGTAATGCCTCTGGGAAGTCCAGTTGGTAAGGAAATTGGTTTAGTACCGTCGTATCAGTAACATATTGCACAAGAAAACCTATCTATTTAATCTATTATGTTTTGTCCGCCCTGGGTATTTGGTTAGGTAGCAAATCACCTATAAAGTCACTAACTTGAAAAATTAAGTGAATTATGTGCTCCAGTTTTGGTTACATGCTTTTTTTTCTTGTTTGGTCACACATCTGTCACTTTAGTTCCCAAAGTGTCAATGAATTCATCACCTATGGAAGCTGTTAAAGAGCATTTTGAGTGAGGAACTTGGATGGTTCAGTGTTTGCCTTGTTTCTTTGCATTGTCATTGCTATTTAGTTAAAATGTTCACTGCTTGAATGCAAGCTCCTTGTACTATTATGCATCTGCACAATTATGATTATGAAGCTGGGTCATTTAGAACCAAAAGAAAAGGTGGGGGATTGGGGAAATCTTATGAAGATTTATTTATTTGAAATGAAATATAAAAATAAACAACCAAGAGAGAAATGAACATTTTTGTGAAAGAGCAGATACAGTTGTTGTTTGACACTTTCCCTAATACAGATTTTCATTGTTATTATAAATAATATTTTGCAGCACACATAAGTAAATACTGCAGCTACCATTGCAGGAATGTGATTATGCAGCATAACATGATGCTGTGTTTGAAGTTTTTTGAAAGCATTGCTGCTCTCAGCTTTGTGAGGAGTGAACATTTTACCACGTCTGCTGTGAAGAGAAGTTATTGATTTTAAAAAAAGAGAGAGTTTAGAGCCATAACAAAACCCTTTTATTTTGTTTGTACAGGATTTAATGTTCAACTGAAAATGCCCTTGAAGGTCAAACTGAAAGTTTTCTTGTGAACAAACAAGTCAGATTTTTATTCATTGTTACACACTGTATCTGTCATGGTCCTGGGTGGGTGACCCAATGTTTATGTGTGTTCTAGTTTTATTAATATTCTTAGATTTAGTGTTATTCATGGTTCTGTTTCCTTGCTTCCTCTGTGTCCACATTCCACATTTAGTCAGTCTTGTCTTCATGTGTGTTTAACCCCTGTGTCCGTGTTCTCTTTCTTCCCCAGTCGGCTATGTTTCCACGTCTGTTTCT